CGGCAAGGTGTTGGCTGCGACCCTCCCCCCCCCCTCCCCTCCCTCGCCCCTCGCCCCCCCGCCCCCGCGTGTCTGCTGCGTATGCCGACGCCACCCCACCCCCTATACGCAGGCGACGACGTACAGCCTGCGGGCCGTGGTGTGGCACCGTGGCGGTGCGCCGACGCCCCTGACAAGAAGAGAGAATCCTCACGAGCAGTGCTGAATAGCCGATCTCGCTAGTCGCGGCCGGTGAGGGCCGTGGTGGCGCCCGCTGCCTGAGATCCCCCCCCACACTGTGCAGCTGCGTGGGGCAGGAACACCCGAGATCACCCGAGATCACCCGCGCCCGAGTCCGCCGTCGCTCCCGCGCGAGCCCGACGAGCCCGCCCTTTGGACAGGCGACGCCTCGTTCGGCCACTACCTCGCCGACGTGCAGCGCGCGCGCGGCGCAGCGGAGTACTGGGAGCGCTACGACGACACTGCCGTCACGAGGCGCGCGGCCATGTCCCCGCCACGCCACATCCCCGCCCGCGCCCTCCGAGTGGCATTCGCTCACGCGGCACGCGTCGTGACAGGATCACGCCGGCCACGGCGGTCGGACCCCACGCGACCGCGGTGACCAACGGCTACCTCTTCTTCTACGTCTCGGACGGGCTGGGCCTGTGAGGGGAGAGATCTGGGTCCCGCGTTGCACGGCTCGCGAGAGACCTAGGGGCGGCCACTAGAGCAGTGTCGAGAGCTAGACGATATGGAAGAACGATATGGGAGCGTGGGCGGAAGGTTCGTACAGGAGCGTCACATCGGCCCCGAGGTCAGATCTCGTAAGGGTAAGCGATCCGCAAAAACCAAAACCGGAAAACAACCAGCGAGCAACTCCACTTTGGGTCGAGAGAGCACGGCGCGAGGGGTTCAACTGAGTCAGTGTAAACAACTGTGTTGTAGCTTGTACTCATGAAGACGCCCCCCGCCCCGCGCCTTCGCCTTATCCTCAGACACGAATCGGCGGCATTAACTTGCGCAACCACTCTCGGGCGCAGCGAGTGAGGACCAGCGTGCAGCGAGCCGCCGACGCGTCGGCCGTGAAGAAGCTCAGAGGGTGCAGCAATTCTCGCAGCGACCTTCATGCCACCTCGCGTTCTTCCCACTCTCGTCGTTCTCTCTCCTGCTGTCTCTTCCTCTGACTCATCGCTCCTCGGCCTCGTTCTGAGACGCCGTTGTTACTATCGAGGTCTCGGGAGTTTTGCCGCTCGCTTTCTGTTAGTTCCGAACCGGCCTCTCACGCTCTCACCTCTCACTGCCGGACCGGCCTGATACGGTGCGACCGCAGCGCACAGATCAACGCACGCACGCATGCGGGCACCGAGCGCGGTTGTCATCGCCACCATGAGCATTCTCTACGAGCATGCTGCCGCGTACAACTCCTTGTTCATCGGGCACAGCTTCTTCCGTCCAATCGCGGAGAAGATGCCAGCGCTAGCCTCGGCTGCCGGACTGAACCACAGTCAAGCCATCGTGTTTAGCGGCGGCGCATCAGGTGCGCCATTGGCTCTCTGGAACTCGGACTCCATGCGGGATGAGATTCAGTCTATCCTTGACTGGGGCAACATTACGCTCTTCGGCATGACATTCGACCACACGGCTGAGGGTTGCGAGCTCTGGATCAACTACGCGCTTTCAAAGAACCCGAATCTCAACACGTTCATGATCGGCCTCCCATGGCTAGATTATCCGACCGAGTACGACACCGACAGCTACACATCCGTGGTGCGTAACGCGGCGCAAACCAACTGGACGGACTTCTTGGAGGAGCTCCGCGGCAAGTACCCGAATGTCACGATCATCGACAACCCCTACGGGCTGTCGGTTGTCGAGCTCCGTATCTTGCAGAGCGCAGGCAGCGTTCCCGACGTGACCGCCATGACCGGCCTCGCCGCAACCTCTCTTTTCACAGACTACAAGGGACACGGAGGCGACATCCTCAAGGACACAGCCTCGTTGGTTTGGCTGGATCGCATCTACCACGTGGGATGTGGCGACCCTGCCATCGCCGCCCTGTTCACCGGGTACATGACCGACGTCTGCTCGGTCGCGGCGTCTCTTTTGGGCGCCTACGATGCCGGGAGTGTTTGCGGGAGTAGTGCCTGCTACACAGCACCGCCGCGCCCACCGACAAGCCCGCCGACGGCCCCGTTGCCACCACTGCCGCCGCCGCCACCTCTCAATGTCGAATCGTGCCTCGCGGCGCTCGACGAGCTTGTCGCCCCCTGGATCACCGAGGAGACGTGTCT